ACACCCTAAAAACCAAATATAAATACCAAAAGAAAGATGTTATTTCGTATTCCTTGCAGTTGCGAAAACATTGTAAATAGCTGTAACCTAAAATTGGATAAGATTTACGTGGAGACATTATCTTAAAGCCTATTATATTGAATTATTAAAACACTATGTATTCCACAAATTAATCAAATAAAATAAATAACTTTTAATATTTGTTTAATAAAATTTATTATCTCCTAAAAAAATCCACTTACTTTAATCCATTTGAATCCGAAAGCAAGAATTTAATCCGTTGAGTTATCCATTTTGAATATTATTGTATATGTATCTCTTCCATGATTCGCTCCTCGGCCACACTTACCTGGCAACATGTTGCCGCACATATGCCACTTATGACAATGTCCACCTTACAAACATGCACAGTTGCTTTTACAGCCCACAGACATATTTCTCTCTACGCTTCATACCTGTATTCCTGTTGGTGTCTTCTTGTTGACTTGGCTCGTTCCATTAGCCTTTTGGATGTGGCTGCATATTGGTCAGTAATATCATTACCTCTCACGTCCGCATCAGTTTGAGCTTTCGCTTCGTCCGCCATCTCCGACACAGCGAGTAAATACGGTGCAATCTATCTCTTATGGAGGGACTGATATCCTTTGGCGAACTGGCATTCATTAACGAAAGCATAGCTGGAAAAACGAGTTTTAAAGTTTTATTGTACTCAACGACTGTTGGAGAGAAGGTATTAATCTTTACTATTACTTATTCGTAGAATGATAGGCGAGACCCGGATAACCAAGTCTATAAGACAAAATTTGTTAACAAAATGTTTTTTTTTGTTTTTTTTTTTTCAAAAACCTATTTGCCAGTTTTATATGTTCACATTTTCTACTTTCAAACCTGTCAAAAACAAGCCGAATTTGGTCAAAAATAACAAGCTTGGATACCTGGTAAATGTGTTACTGATAAAATCAAACTCTACTTTGACAAAATATTTCATTGAATGCCACAAACTTCAAAATCTTCTCTATTGGCAACTCTGGCAACACGAGAACTATTTTGAACAATTCAATACTACTACATGTGACCCCTTACCAATTTTATGTTTCTCTACCAGCAGCACTTTAACTGTAACAGACACATTTGCATGTAAACTCAGCTGAAACATCATGCTACTCTTAATTGAGTTAACAATGAGTTCAATTTAATAAAACAAGCAGTTTTTTTAATTTTTATCTCAATTCTGAAAGCATGTGACATTTGGAATGTAACAAGATAAAAATTAGCAAATGACAAATATTCTGGAACTTTTTTCGACGCGGTAGCAATGTATTTAATTTGTAGCAACTTCCTAACATTTCATGTTGCTAAATTTAATTTAATAAAGCAGTCACAATGCATATTTCAATGTATCTAACTATTAATGGAATGCGCTCGAAAAATATTCAAATTAGAAATCCATTTTTATATTTTAACACCAGCAGCTTCTTAAGGAATTTGGTTATTTTTAGTCAATGAAAACTAAAGGACGTCATGGAAGATGAATATAAAGAGTATTCGATTGATAATTAGGAACTTTCGCTCATTAACGCTCGATTGTTTCGAACCAATTTTTTCTGTACTGTTTAACTCCCATCAGGTTGTTGTAGTTGTCTTGTTCATAGCTGTTCAGTAAAATTGAAATTCGATTATTCTGACTCGCCATAAAGTATTTTCGATGAAAAAGTTATATCCAAATATTGTACAAACAATTAAACGAACGTTAATTTTATGAAAAGACATACTAAATAATTGTGTTAAAAAATTATAAATATCGTCATCCTTTCAAATGAAATGAAGCTTAAAAAAGAAAGAAAACAAGACTTTGAGCTTATTGAAGAAGGGAGACTGTAATTATTTTTTCTTTTGGTTGGCTACAAATTTTTTTTTTTGGTTCAGTCATTTTATCGGACAAGGCAATACTCGGCCGTTGGCTTGTGCAATTAAAATAAATTGAGCAGAACTGTCTCTTTAATATTACTACACTTAAAAGCTTCGAGCTATTGATTGACATTAATACGGTTGTACTAGTGCTTGTGAAGATAAGATGGATTACAATAGGTGCTGAGATCACTAGTGTCTGTATATAGTTTTTGGCAATTGTACTCAGACTAACCACCACTGCGGATACGCCAACTTACACGACACTGACACAGATTTCGGATAAAATTAACAATCCAGCGGTAAATAGCGCTTGCGAGGGAAATAAAATTGAAATGTTCTCTGCACAAAAAAAAATAAAATATTCACTCAATGGTTACTCGTCTTTCAGGCCGAAATTGTAAGTTACAGGAGTACTATTTTAAGCTTTCTGAAGGATCCACCTTGCTGTTGCGAAAAATACTAGGAATAATTCACCGCCTTATGCGGAATATGACATGGCTTACCTGGAACTCTAGTGGCAAAGGCAATCGTGTAGCATACATATGCCTCACTTGTCAAAAGAACCGTGCACTCGTCATATTCTCTTTCACATTTCTCATACCGGTTCTTTACAGTAAAGTTTCAAGAAACCACGGAACGAAAACTTATACTCGTATTGCAGAAATATGTGCACTTGCGGTGAACAATCCAACGCTGAGAGTGTTACAAAAGTAGTTAACTGTGCAAAAATTTAAAGTTTTAGCAACACTCAGAAAATTCATATCAGCAGCGGTTTTATTAATTACAGGAATGTAATATGAACTTTTCAAGAGGTGCACTAAAGTTTCGAATAGAAATTTCACACAAACAACTTGTACGTATTGCGGAAAGCTTCTGTGAAAAAAGCTCTGGCAATAATTACATGTGTAGGCATGGAATGGAAATGAGGAATTTTTGTGGCTGATGTGTAGTTACGAGTGTACTTAAAAGTGAGAAGAAAGTCATACAAAGTGTGTGCCCTGCAGGAAATGACATGTTGAGAAATGTAGTTGCATTGCAAAAGCTTTTATTTACTACGTTGAATGCTCTCAGAGCTGGAGTGTTTTTATCCAACGTAGCTGCTGTCTTTTGATTCGTTTAACTGTGTCAATTTTGTCTTGACCATCGACTATGGTATTCCCCGTTGCCAACCAGCAGATCCTTCTCTGGACAATTCGTAACGCCGGCTTATCAGCAGGACGGGTATGATTAATCGCATGAAGCTGTTTTCTTCTTTTCATTCGAGGTGTTTTTACGTAATGGATCCCCTTAACAACGCACAACTCTCTCACTTTTGCTCGCCTTCAAACGAATGTTTTCGGGCCAACGAGAGAATACTTGGTATAAAATCAGAGATTGTGAGCTGCTCGTTTCATATATAAAAGAACCGTTTGTTTACTTGCATTTAATCCTTATTTCTTTTGTTGATATAACTCTCTGAAAACCATTCTCTGCTGGGGTCTGCTACTTTGCTGGCGTTAAGTGCTGATAATTGCCTGAAAAACTTTCTCCTTCATACAATACAATCAGCCACCTGCATATACTCACGCAAATTTGTTTTTGAAAAGGTAACTTACAGAAATGAATATGTTGCTTGCAGAGCTTACGTATTATAACTGCGTACATTTTTATGTACATTTTTAAATTTTTAATAACTGTTAAGGTAAGTGTAGTCAAATGTACTTCAGCAAGCTACGAAAACTACATTAACATGTAAATAGAATATATGTTATCTATATGAATTTTGTATACGAAATCAATCCAAAATCCGGCGCTAAATAATAGACTAGAAATAACCACTAGAGTAGCGCACTTACAAAAAAAAATAATTACTAAAAGAATATTTTCACGCTCTCATAGAATGAAAACATGAATTTGAGATGTACATATATCCCAAATATTCGACGGCAGAGCCAAGTATCGACAAGTTAAATTATTTTCAATTATTAGTAACCGGCTTCCTTGGCGATAGCCACATAAAAGCAACCTTAAGCTGCTATACAAATATGTCATTGAATTCCATCCAAAAAAAACATGCCATTAATATGAAGTCGTCTAGAGTGTAAAAGAAAAGCCACTCAGGATATGTCTTAATATTTTCAATATTCTTTCAAATATAGGGATTTTCGATAAAAATGATATGACATCATTCAATGAACCCAATTTTTGAGTATTTTTTCCACTAAATCAAGACGTATGTCATGACCACCATGCTCAATATTGACTTCTAAAGCTTAAAGAGAATTTGTTTTGTTACTAAAGACCAATGAGTTCAAATAACCCCACAAGAGTAGTCTAAAAGTGTTAAATCCCAACTTCTTGGGGATCATTGCATGTCACAATTTCTTAAAATAATCGAGTCTTTAAACTTTTAAGAGCGGACCTATGATTCCACCAGAACCACAGCACGCTGTCAATTGTGGATTTTCTTTGCACAAGAATCGACAGTTTTGTTTATTTACCGCACCACTGTGATGAAAGCGAGCCTGATTGGCGAAGATGATGTTTTTTTTTTTTTAATTCTTATTGTTTTTTAAGTTGTTCCAAGGCAAAACAGTAAATTCAAGGCTTTCACGGTGGTCAAATAGTTTCAGTACTCTTTCAGAGTGAAAACAATTTGATATTGATGCCAGCCTAAATATTTTTCTCAAAAAACGTCAGGCTGTGATTGGAGACAGTCCCAATTCCACGAATAGCGAGCACATGTGGACGGTTACTATGACTATAAAATGGCAAAAGCGTACGAAAGTCACAAGAGGAGAATATCTTAAAAAAAAAAAATTGTTTTTTAAAATGGGTCATTGCAGATTTATGCAGTGCATTTCTAACCACACCACATTGGCGATCACTGTTACTTTTATAACTCCACTAGCCACATATTGGTTTTTAAACATGACAAGACCTGCTAATTTGGTTGACAAATTTCTTTTCTTTTGTTTTTTTTTTTTTTTTTTTTTTTTTTTTTTTTTTTTTTTTTTTTTTTTTTTTTTTTTTTTTTTTTTTGTAATGTAAAAATTTAAAAAAATCATAACTATTTGGTCACATGTTTCAAAGTACAGTAGGTACGTAAATCACTTTTTATAATCCTTCGGTGCCTTCTTTTTCATTTATTAATAATTTCATATTGTAATCGTCAAATGCAACGCTTGAAAATTCACAATTCAAAGTATTCCCAAATAGTTTTCGCACTTAAATTTCAAATTGTGTAATTACACCAGCGCCTGGCACATTTCCCTTGACTGGGCCTACACTGAAAATTTGCTGTATGTCCTGTTTAATCATAGTGCCATACTGATTGTATGTGCGTATTTCTTCTCGCCGATCCTTTTCGCTGACGGCAATCTTTCTGCAGACAAACAGTGGACAACAATGTGGATAGTTGAGAAATTCATTGCCTGGCGGCACGGCACTGCAATTACCCTCTAATTTGGGTACTTCACAGCTGTAAATAAACAAAGAATATATATGCTTATTATCTTAGCTATAAAGGGAGTTTAGAGTATGCAGCGAGAAAACACTCACCCATCTTCCCATAACTGCAGTGTGCCCAAGCACTGCACGCGTATACACTGGCCCGGGCGTGTAAAGGACTCGCCGATGTAGAGCTCGCGACCGGTTTCGGCATCAGTGCACTGGCCGTAAGCTGGAAGTTTGATTCATTTAGCTAGACTTTAAATTAAGACGCAATTACTCATATATATATATGTATGCATATACACATGCATATGCATGTACATGTGAATATGTAGGCGTTATTATCAAAAATATTTATATGCATTATTATTTCTATAATTGAGTTATTTTTTAAATTTAAAAAAAATCTCAATTTTTGGTTGCATATGCGCTTTACGTTTATCAAAAATATATGTGCATATATAACTATTTATATTTTATTATGTACTTCAGTGTGTGACAGAAAACACAACTTTTTCATACATACAGCGATAAGACGGACCCGCCAGCGTAGCGCGCAATGCAGAAGCAGCCCATAAGAGCAACAACAACTTACAACAGCAACAATGCAGAGTGTCCGACGAGTGTGACCCACGTGACATCTTGTATGCAGGCTTTAAGTGTCTTTTAATATAACACACAATTGCTTTTCTTTCACACTTCACTGGCAGTTCGTGACTAATTTCAGTCGCAATCTAATCTCGTGTACATTTTGGTTGAACTTGAATTAATCCGATGTGTTTACAAACTATAGTAGTTTAATCAGAGTTTATATTTAGCTTTGGAATTCTCTTGCAAGCGCTTCGTACGCGGTGTTTTCGCAAATGTTGAAACGCGACTGCGGCTTCGGCACGACAGAAGCTCAAAAGATACGCGATTCGGAGACTGCTTGGCAGCCATGCTCTGGATTTGATTTTGCAGCCAAAAAAACACAATATATTAATATATGTATTGGAAATATATTATTATATTGTAATTAATCCAAATAGGTTTTTATTGTTTTGTGTGAGTACTCAAAAGAGTGCTCAACAACACTGAAAGAAATAAATTTTGGTTGTACTTAAGGAAAAAATAATAAGTTAATAAGAAACTAAAATAGCTTTTAAAGCTTTTTCCACGAAAATAGTATTTTAATTTTTTTTTTTTTTGTTCTACGATTAAGTTCTTAAAACCGTATCTTAAAAACATATTTGTAATATTGGGTAGTCAAAAAAGCCGTATCGTATTTCTTATCAAACTTCAACTCAATTTTTTCATAAATATGTATACTAATAAATAAATACCATATGCACCATTTTTTCGCTAGAGACATTATTCCAACAGTGTAAAACTTTCATCGGTGTAAATTGAAATTTCGAAATATACAGAACGGAAGCGAGCGACCCATTGTTGTGCTACCCGAACTGATACAGCATCGCCTCCCTAAGCTTCACAAATTTCATCTATTAGCAAAATACGAAACGTCTTTTTCGACTACCATTAGTATCTTACTTTCTACAAGTAAACAATTTTTATCAAAAAATGCTTAAAACATTATAAAATTTCCTAGTAATTACACTTTTTAACAGAGTGTAGTGCATTCTCTCTCCCTGCCTTCATACTCAGAACTCACATGGCACACTGAAGCGGTATGCATGAGATCATGCTTATCAGTTGTCGCACATGTAAATATGTAGTTAAATATTTGTATATGCTCATTAGGAATCCAAATTAATCAGTTGTTTTGAGCATATTATATTTATACGCTCGCAACATTTTGCGTAGAGTAATGTAGTTTTGTTCATATAGACACGATTATAGGTGCTTACATAAACCTGATTATCTCGAAAGAGGGGACGAATTGATTTCTGGATAACTGCATGTCTGTCCATCTGTTGACGAAATTTCGCACAACGATTTCTTGACACTCTATGATTCTTGGTATTATGTTATATATTATATATGAACAGAGCACCAATGCTATAATTTAGTCACAAACTAAGCAAGAAATTACAATTTTGGCATATCACCTTGTGCTCCAAAAAATAATACAAGCAGATTTAGAATTACGTAACTTGAACCTCTAACATTTATTTGTTGTAACATATATGCAAATGACGACAAGTATTACGGAAAGCTGATATCAAATCAAAAATATCACGTTGACTGATTTTAGGATGTATGTGAGCATGATGCACTTCTTCGCCTTCGATAACGAAAAGCGAAATGAGTCCATATCTCTCTTGCGCTCCTAACATTGTCAGGTAGTTCGCGTACAAATGAAGGCTCAATCAAACAAAGTAAAATGAAGCGGGCACGACGCTCCTTCGCAATTGTCTGGAAAAGGCAGAAAACACCAGGTCATCAATACGAAAGGCGAAAACCGCCTAAGGGTCAGTATACATACATTTGAGGCTGGATCTTTTCTGTCGATGGTGTCCATCAGATCCTCCTTTTCGAGGTAAGCGCGTGTCATAATAGTCCAATATTTATAATTGAGAGCATTAAGTTTCTCGATATATTGCATTTCCATCTGTATTCTTTTTTTGTTATTACTTTGTTTACTGTTTTTTGTATTTTTAAGAATTCGCAATGACTTGCAGTAGCGGCGCTGTCGATACACGGAATTCATATGGAGAAGGAAGAAGACGAAAGGGTACCGCTATTTTTATGGTACTTAAGGATGCTGCCACCTTGTTAGAAGATTTTTATATAGATTTTTATGTTAGGGGTATTCATTATACCCTAAATAAAGCTTTCAAATATCAAATCACTAAAAAAATACTTTCATTGAACATCAATCAGCTCCAAAAGACTCTAGTAACATTTGCGTTCGTAACATAACCTAAAAAGTAGAATCGATTGCCATTTTATTAACGATGTAGTTCACTGCTCTGTATACCGAGTGTTTTTACTGCAGTTTCTTTGAAATAACTGGCAGTGGAATGTTCTAACAGTTCCACCGAACTTGTCAGATATTTTGATCTGAAATTTTTTGTTTCAAAATAATGGTTCTTATTCATTATTAAGTCATAATAAAATGAATAAAGTATGTACGTATTTTAAATGAAAAGAGTCAGTTTGGAACATAAAACGGTGGCTTGGTGGCTTATATAAAGTTTCGTGAAAAAAATCGTAAAAGATAAAAGTAATTTGATTATTTGAAAAGTCGGTTATTCGAATAACCATTGAGATTATGTGAAAAAAATGTTAACACAAAAGTTAAAGTTCTAGTTTTTACTTACCACTTAGCGACCACATAAAATGTCAAATAATGTTTATTTTCATTTATGTTTTATTCTCTTACTTCTGGTTCTGGTTGAAAAAAATTTAGGGTATGGTTTTAAAAAATATCGATGGTAATCTATTTTTTTTTTTTCAAATTATTTCTGGAAAAAAACGTCTGATTCGGATCACGAAGAAGAGGGAGAAAAAAGGAGTTAAAACAAATTTATTTTTCCATTTTGTTAAACACACATCCCGTATGTAACCATACACAATATATGCTTGGCTTGTCTTGTTGGACAGTGAACCACAAAAGCGACTTAATTTCTGAGAACAGCAAACTAATTTTCAGAATAAATTTGGAACTACGAAACACACCAATAAAAAAAAGGACGCAGTATGTTTACTTCTCAACCAATTTTTTGCTTCAACATTTTAAAGCCATTTAATTTAAATCCAATTTTTATTACTTCTGCCAAGCGAATGTACAATTTATCTTTGCTCAATTCCACTTTTTCTCATTTTCAATGCTTTATTTGCTCATTTGGTCAACGAAAATATAATTACAAGAGAAATCCATTTCGCTTTGACATAAATTGTGCAGCATAATAAATCATTTGGGGCTAATCAAAAGCTAAACCACTGAATGTAGCGCAGAAAAGTTTCAAACATATGCAGATATGTATTGGCATGTGTATATAGTATGTGCGTATGCGGCAATATTAGGGTGGGTTGTTTGCAAAGAACGGCAGTTTTTAATATAAAGTGATTTTTATAAAAAAAATATTTGCTTATAAGCAAATTTAAATAAAATATTTTTCGTATTTTTAAGAAAAACAGCACATCTTCTTAAGACTTAATTCAAAGTCGTGAAGAGAGGAGTGCGCAACGATTTTATATGTATGCTTGGCTTACAAAAAAATCATTTGAGACCCACTCTAATCCACATGCGAAAATACAAACATACAAATGCCCGCGTGCCAACAATTGCAAAATCACACGCACAAACTTTCAGTTAGCCTGCTCCCAGATAACAACACCAGCTAAGTAAAATTAAAACAACAGCAACAACAACAGCAAGCGATGCGCAAACGAGTGCAAAATGCTGCAATGTGTGCACAATTGTTGCTGTACTTTTTTATTCTGGCTCTTCGTCTACTAGTTCAATTTAAGCTCGCACCCATCAACCGCATAGACACGCTAAAGCATTTTGCTAAATCACTTTTTCTTCCCAATATCGTTTCAGCTTTCGTATTTGTTTTATAATTTCCATCCATTATTGTAGCATGCTTTTAGGGATGATTGTGTAAGTTCACAGTTTGAACTTTAGAACTTTTTCGCAATCAATTACGGAATTAGGCGCAAGTGACAAACGTCACTTAGCAAGTGTAATGTAAGTAGGTATGCATATTAATTACCGCTTTGAAAGGAAAATTCCTAAAGAAAGCAATTAAATTTGTTTTCGCTTTTTTGTTTGTAGTTGCGATTATTGAATGATATTCGAAACCTTAATATAAGTACGATATTATTTTTTGTAAAATCGACCTTAAGGAAGAAATTCGTCATATATTGGGTAGTCGAAAAAGTATTTTCGTATTTTGTCATAGATGTTGTTGCAGTCGTATATCTCCAGTGCTACCAATCACATTGTGTCATACATACTTTATAGGTTGGAAAATTGAGATTACATTTAACCAAAAAAAATTATTCGGGGAAGTTGAAAAAGAGTGACAGTGGAAGTTGGTCTTTTTCGACTACCCAATATTTAATGCGGTGGCAAAAATATTAAATCTATTTTGAGACTTTTACTGCTTTACAGCAGAATTTGGTTGACCTGAGTGCGACTGTCTAGATATCTGCGAGGAAATCACTCACTGCCGTACTTCTAACATGGTAATAACCGCGCATATGAACATCAAATGATAAAGAGTTTTCTTGATAACTGGAAAAATTTTACAATTTAAATTCACATTTCTACTTAAACCGTGGCATGATTACGCTTAAGACTTAATGTTTCCGCAAAAATAAAAATATTTGCAAAAAATCCTTCTATTTAGTTTTTATTAACTGTGCTAATATCGCGTTAACCTCTTCGTCATTTACGTCGACGCCCTTAAATGCATAAAGCATTCTTTATTGCCGCCAACAATAATAACAACAACGTGTTGTTATCACGTACATCGCTTTCGTGGCGGGGCTGCGAATTCACCTTCGTTGTCTGCTCTATGGATTTTCATTTCTCTCAAGCAATCATGCCGCATACAGCCAATGCCAATGGCAAACAATATAATGGGAAATAATACCTTCATCCATACACATGCACACACTTCCACATCATAAGTGTCTTGACGCTGTTTTATGAAGCTCCTTCATCTTGAAAAAAAAAACACCATTATTACTGTTGTCTGTTGCCGCCTACTACCTGCCACCTTGCCACAACTTGTGGTGTCGCTCCTGCCTCCTGCCTCCTGCTGCTTTTAGCCTTCAGCTACTCTGCCCGCCCACAACTTACCTTGATTGCACGCATTTTCTTTGGTGTGCTTTTGTTTAATATTCCAGCGGTGCTTATTGCAAATTTTACATGCAACACGGCATCCACCTTGCAATAACAATAGCAATAATAAGTAGCAACATCTTTCGATGCTGCTGTACACCGCTGACAACCATATTAGCATGGTCTTCTGCTTGTTGGCGATATCGCGTATCGTTGCTGGTATTCCTTGCAAGGTTAGCTGCTGTTTAGTAGCCCCCAACCTTATCTTAATGTGTGTGCATCATAGGAAAGTATCCAAAAAGTATAAAATACTCTTAAAATACATACACCAACAAGAATTGGCTTAATGTGTTGTATTTACCCTTTCTTTCATATTTATGTCTTTCGCTTGCTCTTCTTCTGGCTCACAGGTTAACACAATACATTAAATGTATAAAAAGTTAGTCAGTCAATTCTATGCTAGTACGTACTAATGGTAATGTTCTCTATTCCATATATTATTGTTTTTATTCAACTATTCTTGAGTTCAGTGTTGAAGGTCAAAACAATATGATCCGTCTCCAGCTAGGTCTCTAAAGATTTTGAAACAAATAATTGATAGTCAGAATAATCTCCAAATAATTTCCTAAACCAATAATTATTCCGTGTTCATATTATTTTCATATTTCCAGAATAAAAGCGGAAAAGGTGGACAATAGCTAATTCTGTTTACAAGCATCTCATTGCCTTTGATCCCCTGATCAACGTTTAGACTTTCATAGTTTCATTGTTGGCTACATTGACCATAAACATAATTTTTATACCTAGAACAGGGTATATTAAGTTTGCACGAAGTTTGTAAAACACATAAGAAAATGTTGGACATCCCACAAAAATGTATTTATGAATGATAACCACGATGAGCTGTGTCAATTTAGTAGCTCATCTGTCAGTCTGTATATACACTAACTGGTCCCTCTGTTTTGAGACATCAGCCTGAAAGTTTGCGTACGTCCATTTATTCTTAACTTGCTCATGCGTCGGAACCACACATATCGGATCGGTAATGTCATTTACTGCAAAATATTGTTGTACCCCTCAGAACATTCGTATATTGTAATCCGTGAATTAATATTTGGATTAATATAGGATGTAAGTTTAATCATTAAGAAACCCTCTGTTTGCTTAGGAAGTCAGTTTATTCAGCACAAGTCTTGTCGTTAGAGCTTTTTTGTCCGTCATAATCTATAATACTTATTGACAGCATCTGCTATCTTTCTACTATTAAGTGCTGATTTTCGAGTACATCCCGCTGTTGATTTTGAAATTAACGTCATTAAGAGTAGGGGGCTGAATAGCCGGGAACTACTTAGGGTAATTATGGCTCCAGCTGCTCCCTGCCTCCAACTCGTCTGCCTTTGATCCGTCAGTGAATATGTAGATTCGCCGTTGGAGCTGTCGATCACAGAAGCATTGGCCTAATCCTCTCTTCTGGGGATTGAAAACGGTATGCTTAGTTGCTCGTCTCCTTTATTCGCTCGCATTGCCAGCTTAACCCGAGTTCATTAACAAAATTGAATTTGATGCCATGCCGATAGCGACGTCTAGCGTGTTTCCAGTGACCTAAAATCACTAATCGGATGGCAATGCTTCCAACCTCACTCGAATGTGTATTGGATATTTACTGAAATAGTTTAAATTGTCCAGCAAATAGATCCATTGGGGTTTAATACGCCACTTTTCGATAATACCATCCACCACGCACCGAAAACTATGTTAGTATTGGGAGTATTAGGTGAATGACACTTGTACAAAGCTAACAGTAGGTCGTAAACCCCATATTGGGGCAATAGCTCTTCTGCAATAAAGAATCCGTTTTGCAGGCATTATTGCGTACTGCTGCTGCCACTTATTCAACATAGACAATTGATAGA